ACTCTGAGCTCTTCTCTCCTCATGTATCATTTGCAATCTTCCTGGATTGCAAAAACATCTTCATTTATAACTTGTTTTCCATGAAGATCCATCCTTTTCCTGTTGCTATGTCCTACCGTCAATGAACTTTATCATTCTTGGGCATATCATGTATTGGATCCTGCATTTCATATATATACATCCCCAATCTCGGCTACACCTATTATGGTGACTTTAGATGTGTGCAGAGACCTGTTTTCTTCTGGAATTGGACTTTGTTTTCTCGTGTGGAAGGAAGGTGCTGATGTTGGGAGGTGTGTGTGTGTGTGTGTGTGTGTGTGTAGAGGGGGGTTGACGGCACTGCTCTTACATTACCTTACTTCCTTTTTTCTATCAGCGAGGAGTGTAGCGGGGAGGAGGGAGAGGAACTTATCTGTGGGCCTTTTCATGCCACAGTGATCCCAAGTAATCTAATTCAGCCTTCCTCTTTCTCGCTTGTGTGCTTCCCTCATATTGGTGCATGCAGATTGCAAAAGCCTTGTGTGTGCGTGTGTGTGTGTGTGTGTGCGTGTGTGTGTGTGTGTAACAGCAAGGGAGAGAGATGGTGGGGGGAAAGGGGACAGAGGAAGACAGACAGAGTTAATGAGTTCTGAATGTGTCTCCATGTATAAGTATTTGTGTTGTGTGTTAAGTACTGCACCGCGGGGAGCCTGGAGATGCTGCGCACCTTCGGAAGTTGTCAGCACGTGAGATGCATTCGAAAGAAAATGAAGTAGAAAAGAGAAGAAGAGTGTGCAGCCTCACAGTAAAGCAAAAATAAAATGAACTGAAATCGCCCCAATCAGCCTCTTTTCAACAAAAAAAAAACTTTCAGTGATAAAAAATGTTTGAAATGTTAAAATCAAACGTATATGGTGATCAGTGAAGCCGATCCCTTTCAATACACTGTTTCCACGCGCTCCCTGACATGATAACAGCGGCTTCACTGCCTCGCTGACAAGCTCTCTGAACGGAGTAGCAAATCAAGATTTGGAAAAGGGAGAAGCAAGCCGTTCTGTACATGTAGAGGACACATACACAGCGCATCATTTGGTTTAGCACACATGATCTTCATCTTTATCTCCGATGAGGCTCCTGCCCTAAATTATCCTGCCCCGAAATGATTTAGCCAAGTTTGGCCAATAATTGTAATATTGGGTTAATTGAGATGGATTTTCGCCGCTGTGACAAAAAGTTATGTGATTTATAGCGAGCAATAAAAGCCTCCCTTCTATGTAAAATGAGCAGAATAATCAGGGTGAGAAAGCAGACACTTGTAGGATTGATTGATGACTGCATGTTAGAGTTTGGCGGGGTGCGTGCTCATTCACAGAATTCATTTTTACAAAAACAATAAAGGAAATATTGCCATTCATACAGCCTTGCACAACAGCTAAATGCAATCAAATTAGTCAAATAAAGATTTTTATTTAATGTGTGTTTTTCACCGAGCAGGCAAAAGCAAATTCTTCGGCTGAATCTCGTTTTTTTTTTTTTTTTTACTAGCTGAGTCTTTTGTGAGGTAATCATGCAAATCATCTTTGCAGTTTGTTTTTTTTTGTCAGAGGAAGGTGTGGGAGCAAACTATATATTCCTAGAGCAAGGAAACCAGGCTGTTGATACATCAGTGACATGAAAAGGATGCGAGAGAAGGAACTCGCACAATACTGGAGCATTGAACACATAGCTTCAATTATCCTGAGAATGGATTTGTGGATGAGGATGCCTCGTGTTGCTCTGAATCCAGGAACAGCCACCCACAGGCATCTATCATCTACACAGCTACGGGCAATACTTAGAGAATAACAATGACACAACAGTCAGGTCTGTATCATGCAGATCAGAAGCACCAAAATAGAAATGAATTCAGTCTTTGTTTTAGTAATCAGTGCTCAAGTGACTCTGCGTCTCTCTCCTTAGTCAAAACAGTTGATGTCTCAGTGTATTTACCTGAGCGTTCTTGATCTAAATCAGAACCTGGTGCTCTCTGGGTCGATGAACAAAGCTACAAAGATGCATAAAAGGTTCCCTATGTGAACTTCTATAGGGGTTAATCTACACAACAGTCTACCTGTGACTCACTGAGGGAGACACATGGCTCCAGGCTTACCCTCAGGCCAGAGCCAGCCTCGAGATTTCATCTGAGGCCTGCTGGGAGCTGCACTGTAAAATACAATACACAGCTTAGTCAAATCTACTCATCCTCTCTAGTTGACTTACCGTACACGGTGCATTCCACAAGTTCCAAGATTGCTTCTGTCAATACAAGAAAACATACCTGATTTAAATTTGACATCTATGTCCATTTGTACTAGCTTTGTTGTGCAGCAATACACTGCTCCCAGTGCTCCTGCCACATTTGGGCCATTTTCTGGAAGTCCTGTTCTGCAAGTGTGTTAAGCAACATTTGCACAGCTCTAGATCTCCACCACTGTGTCAAAATGATGACAGTTAAACTTGAATTTGATTTTAAGGAGAAGGAAGAAGCTAAACTGGCAGATAGGTTGGACAAAGAGACACATTTGTGTTGATATGTCCAAAAAGCTTGTGAGAGGCCTGCACAACAGTTCCAGTCATTTGTGCTGAATCTTCTCCCTCGGACACCTCAGGATTTTACAGTAGGACTCGGCGTTGACAATCTGACCCCGGGGCTTGAATCTGCGAGCTCTTCTACAGCAGACTGCTGTTTAGTCTCTGATGTCGTAGCTGACCCACTTCTTGTCACCAGCGATCAGTCACTTTGGCACAAAATTTGGTGTTTGCTCTCTATGTAATTTTGAGGTCCATGGTGAAATTGCAAATGCACACCTGCGAGTTGTCAGAACATGACTTCCAAGGAAACTTCTACATGTGGCAGGAGCACTGTGAACAAGAAGACTACAAGAAAGGGACAGGTGTCAAATTTAAATCAAGTACAGAGTTGCTTCTAAAAAGGCGCAATCATGGACCTTACTGATTGCACCTCTTATAAGTTTTGTTAATCTCTCGTTAATGCAACTTAAACTTGGGTGGCTGTGGCTCAGGTGGTACAGCGGGTGTTCCTCTAATCACAAGGTTGGCGGTTTGATCCCCCGCCCCTCCACAGTCAAAGTGTCCTTGGGCAAGACACTGAACCCAAAGTTGCTCCCATTGACAGGCCATTGTTGCCATTGGTGTATAAATGTGTGTGTGAATGGGTGAATGAGAAAACATTGTAAAGAGCTTTGAGTACCATTGAGGTAGAAAAGTGCTATATGAGTGCAGACCATTTAAAATGTCAGTTTTTAATTTTCAGGGTACTCTAACTTGGGGCATTTTTACCTAAAATGATGAGTTAGATGAACAGCTGAGGGTTTGCTCAAATTAGGTTGAGTTTACGAGAAACGAAACTAGCAGATCACCAGGATTCCCAGGAAGCATTGTTAGATAGTTAAAACTGCCCAGAGACTTTTCTTGTAGTTTGAGATACAATGGAAATTTGATCCATTACAACAAATAAGCAAAACAAATAAAACTTACATTAGTACGCCAAATGAACTTACAATAATTTACAGCATAATGTTCCTCTCCTCCTGCCCTGCTCCTAAACAGACTTTGTGGGCGCATACCTACATTTCCACGTCTGCCTATTCTCAAAGTATCAGTGGTAGAAGACAAATTTAGACATATGCTTTCCTTGAGCAAAAATAGCTATACAGCAGTCTGAAGGTAGTCTGATACAAGTAAAGTTCCTGCCCTTAACAACTGAATCAAGACAACTTACCAATTACATATTATCAGCAGCATATACTTAAAGCATTCAAAATTAAAGCCCTTGGTATGCAGAAGGGTCCCTCTCTCAGTGTCATTAAGTATATATAGTACATGAACGGATTAGCGTTGTGGTTTTATAGTCAAAGTGGGGAAAGATTTTATTCTTCTATATACTGATTTCGGAATTTTTTACAGTCTGTCCTTTATTTTATCTTATTTTTATTTGCCAGGTTAGTTCATTTTTTGGGTTTTCAAAACCATCTAACATAAATGTAGCACACCGCATGCATTTCATTCCCATGTTTTTATTGATTTTAAGTCTGTTTGATTATGGAAAGGTGCATTCCATTTTGTAAATTAATTGCATAATTTGTACGTAAAGCATTAGGCTGAAAAGGGAGCTAGTGAGTGGAATGGTGGTGGTGGCCTTTGATTTGCATGTTCTCCTTACGTCTGTATCGTTTTTCTCTGGGGCTTTCTTTCACAGTCCAAAGACACAGGTTAAGTGGTGATTCAAAATTGACTGTAGGTGAAAGTGTGAGTGTGCATGATTGTCTGTCTCTTTGCGTTAACTCTACGATGACCTGGTGGCCTGTCCAGGGTTTTGCGCTGCCACTCCCCCCAGTTTCAGCTGGGAGAGGTTTTAGTCCCCCGTGACCCTCTACATGACAAAAGAAAGTACATATAATGGATGGATGGATGGATAAGAAGGGTAGTAACTGCAGTTGTCAGATTAATGCAGTGAGTAAACAGCACAATATTTCCTTCTGAAATGAAGTGGGGAAGAAAAATAAAATAGTTCAAAAACAATACAACACCGCCTTAATAAATGTGTTGTGTCTGTGAGGCATTGTCATCACCATGTCATCTTTTCCTTGATATATATATACACTTTTTTAAAGAAGTGTTTCTTTGTCGCTTAAATCATTTCACTTCTCCTTGACGTAAATGCAAATACCCTACTTGCAGTTTCGTTGTTTATTAATGTTTTGTTTCTAATCTATAAAATCTGCACAAAACGTGATCAGATCATGAATGCATTCATCTTCCTCCTTCAGGCTGTTACTAGTCATGATTAAAAGCAATTCTCAGCTATTTCCAAGGCAATGCATTTTCTGCCATGTTGTAAAAAAAACATATGCAAATATTGACACAAAGTGTAAATTTACACATCCTACTTCACCGTCAGAGTAATGAGCATGCAGCCATCTATTTGGGTGCTGCATCAAGCTGGAAGTGGCATCACTCACCATGGCCAGAGGCACAATGCCCGCCAGGTCCTCCTGTGCCAGGCGGATCTCCGTCTCCACCTCTTGCGAGGCAGCACGGCTGGCCGAGTACTCCACCTGCCAGGCCATCCAGCGGCTGCCCGTCGGCTCTGGGAAGCTTTCCATTTTCAGATCCACCTGGAGCACCCTTTGAACTCCCATCTCAGACCTACCGGTGTGCACAAAAAGAAGAGAGCGGCAGAGAATGGTTAAGCAGATGGCTGGGCAGGGGTTTAAAAAAGGACGTGCGGATGTGCTCATGTGTGTTGATGGGCTCATTCAACCTGCTGTCTGCTCTAATGACGACAAATGGTACGGGCTGATGAATGTATCTGAGGTTGAAATCTGTGACATTTTACCAACTGAGATAGTTCAAAATGTCAAGTTCTTTTGTGTTTGACTCTCTGGTCAGTCGTCTACCTCGTGGAATAATGTCACCCCTCATTATCTTTACTCCTCTCACGGTTTACTGAAAGCGATGTGCACAGTAAATAGAACCTACAGTGTAATATTTTGGCTGCTCCTCAGAGCAGTTCATAGGAATGTTTCACACAGCGTCACCCCCACTAAGGTGTTGATGGTAGGGTTTGTCACCGGTGCCCTTGTTTGCAGTAGCGGAGTGTAAATATACGGCATGCTTCGGCAGGATCTACGGCAAGCCTGAATTAAGTCAGACAAATGGAGAGCGTTGATAATAAAATTTCTCATGGCACCATAAGTCTCTGGTGCTCGTGGTTTAAATATAGCCTGGAGGCAGGAAAGGTCAGCTTTACACGAGAGCCGGAGGAGATGGGAAATGGCACAAAATCTGTTAGCCACGTCTTGCGTGTCAAATGGCAGGACTCTGGGCCAATAAATTTCATGCATGGTCTCTGTGGCATGCCGCCACAAAACAGCATCATGTAATTTGAGCATAGTGAGGGAGAGAAGAGGGGAGAATAAGTACCATGTGAATAAATCCACATGGTGCTTTGTTTAGAGAGAAGAGCCCATGCATGTAACATGTATAAAATACTGTGAAGCATGAGGCGGAAAAAAGAGACCTTTTAAAGGCAAATTAGATATCAAGCGAGCAAAATGTTGCTATAAACAGAGGCAATACATACGTGGTACATCTTGAAAAGACAACAGAAGAAATGTATAACACCCTAAATTATGAATAGGGGACTAAAACAGTAAAACAATAAATAATAGACAATGTTTTATCCGCTGTTCTCATACTCACACAGGACGCTAGTTCCACATCGTTCTCATATTATTCAGTTTTACGCTGAGAGACTGTAAGATTTGTTGCACAGCAGAGCACAACAACCCAATTTTCACATCCAACAGAGGTTTTTTTATAAATAATTAAGATGACAACCAAATAAGTTGTGTCACATTTCATAACATCGTACCAGCCAGAGTAGCGAGCCGTTGAAGACGTACTATGACAACATAAACTTACATAACTGTCCCGCAATGCTGCGGAAAAGGACAGATGCTAAATTCTGTTTGCGGACCAGTAAAGCCACGAGGTTCATCAGACGAAAAAAGTAAATAGATGATGCACTAAATGTCCAGAAATAAACCTCTGAGCGCTCTGCAGTAACCAAGTGTCACACAAATCCTTTGTCAGCCCAAATGGCCTAGTTTCTTCAGCACAGGCAGTTTTTTCTTTTTTTTCCCTCCACACAGGTTGCTCAGGCAAACATCACACACTTGAGGCACGCAACAAGGAAGATGAGCAAAAAGAATGAAAGTGAGTGTACAGCAGAAAGGTTTGATTGTACTGTACATACACTACCAGGTTCAGGAATCAAACGCACACCTTCACAAAGTTAAACTGCCTCCAGAAAAGACAGAAAAGTTATGTTATTAGCTTCTTTTTTTTCCTTCAGAGATGTCAATTATTTCCTGCCTCGCCTGATCCAGTTGGCAGAGTTTAATAGCAGCTGTGAATGCTATGAATTTTATGAGGTTTTCATATTTCTTCCTACAATAAAGGTGCCAACTAAATATTGAGGTTATTAGAATGTACACGGTACAAATAGTCCCTCTGACATGCTGCTAATGTGGCATGTTTGTGACAGAAGTATCCAATGTCAAAAGAGGACCTGAACGGCAGCAATATTAAAAACAAGGATGAGTGAAGGGAAGAAATAAAATCTTGCTGTGGTGCAAAGAGCACACTTCACCGTGGCCATTCTTTGACTTCATCTTAGCAGGGGAGTTAATGGAAATATTGCAGTGTATGGGCTGGAGGTTACAGTTATTTGCAAAAGTCTGGAATATATCCAGCTTGAAATTCATACTGTCTGAAATGTCAAAAAGAAATAGAACTTAAGGGAAGCTGTGGAGGTCATGACAGGATCTGGAAGACCAATTTTCAGATAAAACTTTGTATGAGCTGAACAGAAAGGCAAAACAAAACCCCCGTGTGAGGAAGGTTTAGCTGACACAGGGGTGGAGGTGCATTGTTCCATTGTGCAGCATTGCATGAAAGTGTCATCATAAGGAACTCTTTCCCTGTGACCGCCTCACCGAGGTCAGTGTCCAAAGTATGCAAAGCAACATCTGGTTGAGCCAAAGGCGTTTAGAGAAGAAGTGCTGTGGACAGATGAAGTAAAAATTGGGTCTTTGGCCACAATCACCAGGTCTGCATGCAGGACAAAAGGGGCAACATTTGACTTGGCCAGATGTCAGGCTGGGGATGGAAATAGAGAGGGAAGAATGGATTCCACTAAATATCTTCCAGTCAGTCAGGACAACGCTGCCTCTCAAAAATTACAGTCCTATAAAACTAAAGTGCATTCTCAATTACATTTTGAAAGAAACGGAAATGGTCTGGTAACAGTAGGACGCAGGGCAAACTATTAAAGTGCCATAAAGTTCACATAACAAGGATGAAAGCTTGGTGGCATTAGTCCAACACAGGACTTTACCCATGAGACAAGGGTTTGTGTCTCATGTGAAATCATTTTTAAACCTAAGTTTACTTTAGTTTACTTTAATTGTTACTCACTGTTTGATTAGGGGGCTGCAAGGTAGCTCGGTGGTTAGCACCGTCACCTCGCAGCGAGAAGATCCCTGGTTCGTGTCCCTATTAGGACACCTGGGATCTTTCTGCGTGGAGTTTGCATGTTCTCCCCGTGCAGCGTGGGTTCTCTCCGGGTTCTCCGGCTTCCTCCCATACAATCCAAAAACATCCATCCATTATCTATACACTGCTTAATCCTCACTAGGGTCGGGGGTCTAGTGGCCAGTCTAGTCCAAAAACATGCTGAGGTTAACTGGTAATTCTTAATTGTCCGTAGGTGTGAATGTCAGTGTGTATGATTGTCTGTCTCTAAGTGTAGCCCTGTGATAGACTGGTAACCTGTCCAGGGTGTCCACTGTCTTCACCCTGAGTCAACTGGGATAGGCTCCAACCCCTCCGCGACCCTAGTGAGGATTAAGTGGTGTATAGATAATGGATGGATGGATATTTGATTAGGTTTAAGCAGCAAAACCACTTGGTCAGGTTTAGAAAAATGTCATGTCTGGGGTAAAAATCTACCCATTGTTTCATAAAACGTTTGAAAGTTTTCTCACTCACCAGGATGCAAAGTCTAAAATATAATTGTTTGGCTGAAAAAGAGCAACAGAAAGGCAATAAAATAAATAGCAGTGACAATGATAATGATTAGAAATGCATTTGTGATACATCACAAACAAACTTAGAATCTGTGAGGAAATATGCTTCTGTCAGAATGTAATTGAGATTGCAGCTTAGTTGTAAAGGAATATCATTTTTGTGAGACAGCGCACAGAAACTGATAAAAGGGTGTCTCCTATAGCAGGACAATGATCCAAAGTATACTTCAAACTCTATGATGGAACTCCAAGCTGAGGCTGTTTGAGTGGTCCTCACTGTCCCCTGAACATCTGAAAATATGTGAGTAGATCTAAAAATATAGGGTTAGAATAAAGTGACTTGCAAGGAAGAATGGACAAAAATGTCTACATCAAGCTGCATCATAGCTGGCTTTATATAACATTTGTAGGCTGTTATATTAGGGGTTTTTGACTTGGTACGGTGACCAAATCGTTGCATGTTTTACAATTATTGGTTAAGTGTGTCCATGAAATAGTAAACCACTGTGGAAAGGCTCATTTTTATTGTATTCATGCCTGTAGTTATGTCTTTTCATCTCAAAAATCAAGCACATATGTAATAGCTTGCCAAAGGACGCTCAAACGTCTGTGTGCAATTATACTATTTATGCAGGTGTGGGTTTGTGATTTAAGGAATAAATCACGAAGGCCCTCCATGCATAAAGCTGTGAACACAATGTTTATGGTGAAAATGGTTTATTTATAACATTTTTTATGAAGACTCTTAAAAACCAAAGCTGCTGCTGGCTGTATTTCTACCCTGAAAAGTTGTAAAGCAGATGGCCAAAAAAAAGAAAAGAAAAGAAAAGGAAAAAAAAAAAAGGGGGGGGACTGATAAACAGACATTTGGGTCTCCTAAACTCCCATAGAAAGCCTGGCAGCAGTCCATTTTTGATTGTCCGCTGTACTTGACCCCCATTGACACCCGTCATAAAATGAAACCTGACAGAAACATCAGGGTGAATGTGACGCAGACGTTGAGTCACTGACATCAGCCATATACACCAGCATGTCATCCTGAGTCGACCTCCCCGCTCCAAGTCTGCTAATCACATGGCTCGCTGGGGGAAACTGCTCATTTCTCTGTCACTTCCAGCATGGGGTCTAATTCAATTAGCAACAAAGGGCCATGGATGCGTGCCACACAGCTGGCCTCAGCCTGATAATTATCTCTGAGCTAGCTGTGGTTTGACTAAATCTGAGGCCAGACAGACGACCAGAGGGCACCCAAAGGCAAGAGAGAGAGGCTCAGTAGATAACAGGCCCTAAAGTCGGAAGCAGCTGGCCCTCTGGCTTTGGAGACCGGACCGGAGAGGAAATCAGACTTGACAAGGTGCTGCCGGAGAGGGCTGACAACTGACTCACTGAGAATAGCACAGAGATGGCTGAGAGGATGCTGTTTAGGCGCATTCAGAATGCCCATTAATCACAATGACACCAGCCGATCTGTAGGACACGCAGTGACACACAATGAAACATACGAGGAGAGCTTAGCATCATAATGGATTTGTTTAAGATGCTTTGTGTAGCATT